TGGAAGGGATCTCTATGGCCATCTAGTTCAGCCCACACCTGAAAATGACTCTCCATTAAAATAGATCCAGCAAGTGGTCATCTAGCCAAGAGGTGTCAAACATGCATGCAACACACAACCACATTAAAATTGAATTGGGAAATATTTAATAAAATAAATAAAAATACAATTAAACAGAAATAAAATTAATATATGGTTTTCTAAGTCAAAATGCAGCTTTTGTAGGGATCCTTATGTATGGTCAGTAATCCTTATTTCTACCTGAGTTTGACACTATTGACCTAGCATTGCTAGAGGACCACTAGGAAGGTGAAACCCACTGCTTCCTACACTTCTAGATAGCTGTAAGGGTTAAGAAGTGTTTCCTTGCATCAAGCCTAAATTGGCTTCTGAAACTTCCATGCTATAAAAGAAAAACTCGGTACTCTATGTTTTAGGCACAAGCCTTCCAGGGACAAATTCATTAATTAACTAATTCTAAGCATCTTTGCTCAGACAGAAAGGAAATCCACAGTGGCAAAAATCCATCCTGTCTTTGAAAATTTCTCTGACACAAACATTTCTACTCATTTAGCAAAAGGCAGTATTTCAAAATAAGATAAAACATAGTTAACACAGCTAATAGTTTAGATACACCAAACAGAATAATCCCTCAACTTCCGTCCTACCCTAGAGAATAATTTTCCTAAAACCATTCAAGCCTGCTTCAACTACTCCAAGGAGTCTTATTTCAGCCTGATCAAAGTTGAGCTCAAGAGATACTTCTATTAGTTGAATTAAGCAAATGTGTTCTTGCTTCTCTTAGTTTGAACATTACCCTAATCAATTTCAGGGAAAATTATTTCCTGGGCTGATCAGGCCCTTCTCTTTAAAGTCTGGTTAGGCTTTTTGTAAGAATGACATAAAAAGATTTCAGCACAGGAAACTGTTTTTGGAATTGATAATTTAAAAAAAGGATGACTTAGTTTCACACCAAGAACTTCCAACTACAGTATTGTCCTAATATTATTTTGTAATGTGTAGCTTTAAAAGAGAATTGGGTGGGGGTGGGGGAAGACTTAATATGCTTACAGACTCATTGCACCTAATTCTGCCCTCTGGGGCCAAGTATAATCTCTCCTCCACTTGACAGATCTTGAGGTACTTGAATACAGCTATTATGCTGTACCCTGAGAATTCTCCAGCTTAAATGTGCTCATTTCCTTCAATTGATTCTCAAATGGCATGGACTCAAGACCCTTCAACATCCTGGTGGTCCTCTTCTATGTCTCTTCAGTTTATCAATGCCCTTTCTAAATTGTAGTGCCCAGAACTGAACCCATCTCTCCAGATAGTGTCCGATGAGGGCAGAGTACAATGGGATCACCACCTTATTCCTAGAAGCTACATATATGCTTCAGTGTAGCCCAAGCTCTCATTAGATTATTTGACTACCTGCCATTCAACACTACTGACTCATACTGAGCTAATAGTATTACTAAAAACCCAAGAATGTTTTCAAATAAACTTGTTTCTTATCATAGTTCCCCTATCCCATGCTTGTAAAGTTGACTTTTTGAACCCGAGTGTAAAACTTTACATTTAGCCCTACTGAATTTCCTCTTATAAGAGTCAGCTTGAACACCAAGCCTGTCAAGATCATCTTGGATCATGACTTTGCCATCCAATATGTTAGTAATTCCTCCCAGTTTTGTGCCATATGCAAATTAGATGAAAGGAAGGAATAAGCATTTATGTAGCTCCTACTATGTATAAGCATTTGACAAATATTATCTCATATGATCCTCACAGTTGTGAGGGAGGTGTTATCATGCTCTCCATTTTAGAATTGAGGAAACTGAGGCAGATAGAGATTAAATAACCTGCCAGGATCACACAGTTGCTGAGTGCTTGAGGCTGGAGTTGAACTTCCTGACTCTAGAACAACGTTCTATCCACTGTGCTACCTAGCTGCTGCAATATGACATGATGAGCATGCCATCTATTGGTGCATCCGAGTAGCTGATAAAAGGCCTTGCTGGGGGATCAGAGATGGAATTTAATGAAAGGCTACGTTTACTATATAACAATAATGTCACCATACTAAATGTAATCTATGTAGTCACTGGTGATTTTTCTCCTGGCTAGAGAATCTCTCTTTTATGATTACTCTGAAATGGAAATAAGCTAGGATTCTTCGTTTAAGTGAAAGGATAGACATAGCACTGCTGGGCTCTCCTGGTGCAAAGGGCAGCAGCATAGTTAGATAGATTAGAATATGAGTGGAATCACTGCCCAAGGCTACCAAGTTCAGGAAACTTTAGATCCTGTACTCCATCCACACACTTCTTAATATTGTCTGTTTCTGACATCAGCATAGCATCCCATTTATCGCTCCACCACTCAGAGAGTCATTCCATATAACAAATAGGATTTTTGAGAGGAAAAATGAGGAAAAAATCAACACACCTGATTAATACATTAGAAAAGTCTAAAAAACATGTACAACATGTGTAACACTTGTGGACCTCCAACCTCCATGAAGGGGTAGGTCAGAGATGTCTTCTCATACCTCTTCATTTGAGTCCCACTTGATCCTTATAATTCTGTTATGTTTGCCTTTGATTTTTTAAATATCCAGTTGTTCTTTACATTTACATTGTTTTAGTTACTGTGTATATTGTTTTCTCGGCTTTACTTACTTCACTTTGCATCAGATCATGTAGATCTTTCTATGTTGCTATGTATTCATCACACGCCTAATTTCTTACAGCACACTAATATTCCATTACATCCATCTACCACGATTTTTTTAGCCATCCCTAAGTGACAATCATTTACTTTGTTTTCTAGTCTTAGCTTTCCACAAATTGTTGCTATAAGTATTTTGTAGTATATAGGGGCTTTTTTCTTATCAATGGCTTCCTTGGAATGTAAACTCAGTAATGAAGTCACTTGTTCAAAGTGTATAGACATTTTATTCACTCTACTTACATAATTCCAAATTACTTTCCAAAATGGTCATGCAATTTTATAGCTACACACAATATATTAGTGTGCCTATTTTTCCACCTCTTCAATAGGCATTGTCGCCATTTTTGTCATTTTTTTACATTTGTTAGGGTATAAAGTGAAACTTCAGGGTTGTTTTGATTTGGATTTCTCTTATTACTAGTGATTTGAGGCATTCATTCGCGTGGTTGTGAATACTTTGCAGTTCTTCTGTTGAGAACTATTTAAACGTATCCTTTGACCATTATTGTGTTAGGCAATAGCTATGTCCATATACTTGTCAATTTGGTCTGAGGGCTGACAGGCTAAGTAGCCAAAGCAGATGCTGTCTGAGACAGTAGTCAATCCCAGCCCTCTGGAACCTTCCCAGAGATGGGACAGACCCTTCCCACTGCATGGCTTTTTCTGTTTTTCTATGACTTGATTTTAAAATGCCTCATCAGCTTCCCTTGCTTATTCTTTTCATAAGGAAGTAGCAAGAGGGTGAAAAACGACAATATTATGGGGTTATTTTCTGGGTCTGAGCTAATCCCCTTGATGATCTTCTAATCTGGAAACAATTTCCTTGGCAACTATACCTCTCACCGTATCTTTCCATTATAGAAAGGGTCTTAGAGGTTGTCTTGTCCAAAACCAGAAAAATTAAATACGTAGTAAAAGGCCCTACAAGAAGTAACTGGCAGAAAAAGGGTTCAAGCCAAGGTCTTCTACTTTCCAATGAAGTAGGCTTTCCATGGCAACCATGCCAACTCTCTGCACCATGTAATCTCTTGTCGAGGGCCTTATCTGCCTAACATGCTAAGAAGGCTGAGGGCTTTTTGTTTGTTTTTGTTGCTTGTTTTGATCTGTTTTTTTGCTGCCAGGATGTTTTTACAACATGCCTAGATTCTCTTTTGAAACCTGGTTCTTTCTTTAAAAGGTGGTACCTTTTCCCCCTTTAAATATTTCTAATCACATTTAAATAACTATTGAACAGAGGGCTAACATTGTTTCCTCACATCATTGCATCAATCCAATCTAATCTAATAAACATTTATCAAGAGCCTACTATGTTCCAGGCACTGTGCATCAGCAAACTGAACATTTTTTTCTCTTCTTCCTATGTGCCCTTGGCTTTTTGGTTCTTTTAAAGTTTAAATTCTTTTTTCACTTAACAAGCATTTTTTTCTTGATCCCACATTTTTTCCCAGTTGAACAAAAAGAAAAATGCAGCTCTCATAACAAATATGTGTGGTCAAGCAAAGCACATTACTTCATTGCTGGTGTCCAAAAATGTACCTGGATCTTAATTCCATCATCTCTCTACCAAGAAGTGGGTAGTATTCTTCATCTTCAGTCTTTTGGAAGCATGGTTGAGTGTTTCATTGATCAGGGTCCTCAAATATGTTTTTCTTTATAATGTTGTTATTCCATAAATTCCCCTCCTGGGTCTTGCTACTTCACTCTGCATAACTTTATATGGTTCTTTCCAGTCTTCTCTGAAGAGGTCTGTTTCGTTATTTCTTCTAAGCTTTAGTATCCAGAGATTTTGTGAATAGAAAGTGACATAGCAGAAAAAAAGAATTTAATTTAAAGTCCAAGGACCTGGGATCAATTCTTAGCTCACCTGCTTCATAGACTATTCCACGTACTCTCTGGGCTAAGTGTTTCTCTGGTGTAAAATGATGAGATCGGACCAAATGATCTTTGAGTTCTCTTCTTGCTCTCAATCCTATGAAAAATCTTTCTTTAGAATTAAATCATTAGGGAGGGGCAGCTAGGTGGCACAGTGGATAGAGCACTGGCCCTGGATTCAGGAGGACCTGAGTTCAAATCCGGCCTCAGACACATAACACTTACTAGCTGTGTGACCCTGGGCAAGTCACTTAATCCCAATTGCCTCACCAAAAAAAAAAAAAAGATAGTAATAGAATTAAATCATGTTCAGATAAAATGCATAGTTCTATTATTTCTTACTACCCTTACTTATTTCCTCTTCCTTGCTAACAATTTTATTTTTATTATTACAGGCAATGAGAGTTTAGAAGAAAATTATGTCCAAGATAGCAAAATGGGCTTTGTCATCAATGCTATCTATGCTATGGCCCATGGACTGCAGAATATGCACCATGCTCTCTGTCCTGGACATGTTGGTCTTTGTGATGCTATGAAACCCATTGATGGCAGTAAGCTCTTGGACTTCCTCATAAAATCCTCCTTCATCGGTGTATCAGGAGAAGAGGTGTGGTTTGATGAAAAAGGAGATGCCCCTGGAAGGTAATGAAGCAATTCTATCCAGCAAAATAGTTGAATGAGAATTAGATTTTTTTTTCCAAACAGGTGGATATATTTTGTTTTAATTACCACTGAAGATTATTGGGATCAGTATAGCTAGAGATAAATAAAAGCATGCCTTGAGAGGAGAATAAAGGTAATAAATGCATCCATCTTTCTCAGACACGGAGGGAATGAATTTTCTTTACTGGAAATAAGACTTTGCCTAAGGTTAGGGTCAGCCTAAGGATCATTGATACAGAGCCTGAAGGGCCTACAAAGATCATTTCATCCAAACTCTTAATTTTACAGATGAAGAAACTATGCCCAAGGAGGTAGTGAAGTAACTTGCCTGACAAGAGTATATAAATGTCAGAGAAGGAATGCATTTGAGAGAATAGAAAGCCACCTGGGTGATAATATCTGAGGGATTCTTGGAAGGTTTTCCCTTCCCCCCACCCAGAATCTCTACAATTAACTTGTGATTAATGCTTGATTTCTAACATTCAAGATTCATGTCTTTGTGTCAAGTTATTATTCATGTTAAAATGCAAATATCCTTGGTATGGAAATCCATTAAGCCTGATATCAGCCCTTAAGATCATAACTCAAATTGGTTTATTATATTCCTTACAATATGGAAATTAGTTAGGGAAAGGTTTGGACAGACAATACAGAAGAGAGCATAGTCTGGGAAAGGCAGACCTAGACGAGGAGAGGGCCTGCTTCAGTAAGCCAAGGAGAGCAATGAATAAAGGCATTAGGTACCTGAAGGAATATTTATTGTTTTTGTTGTTCAATCACATCAATTCTCTGAGACCTCATTTGGGGGTTTCTTGTCAAAGATACTAGAGTGGTTTGCCATTTCCTTCTCCAGCTCATTTTACATATGAGGAAACGGAGGAAAACAGGATTAAGTGACTTGCCTATGATCACATAACTAGTAAGTGTCTAAGGCCAGATTTGAACTCATGAAGAATTTGAACTTCCTGATTCCATGCCCAGTACTCTATCCACTACACCATATAGCTGTCCTAGTACATACAGCCAGTATGTGCTCTGATACACACTGGCTACATACCCCAGAGCATATCACCTAACCTCAGTTCTCTAAGTCAGTGTTTCTCAAACATTTTGGTTTCACTACCCTTTTTCACTCTTAAAAGTTACTGAGGATCTTCCAAAGAGCTTTTGTTTATATGAGATATGTATATATATATATATATATATATATATATATGTGTGTGTGTGTGTGTGTGTGTGTGTGTGTGTGTATACACACATATGTATTATATATATGTATATATATATATATATATATATATATATTTATCACATTAGAAATTAAAACATCTTAGTATTATTAATGAAAAATAGTTTTGATCTTATGGAACCCCTGAAAGGATTTCCGGAATCTCCAGGGTCCTTGGAACATGCTTTGAAAACCACTGCTATAAACAACTCTCTGGAACGATAAGTTTCAGAGAAAGTGTCAATTTGCATTGGTAAAGGGAGTTTCCCTAACCAGGAATTTGCTCTGCCAATAGAATCACTCTTCCAGCTCAAATATTTTATTACAAAGTTCTATGTATATTGAGCTGAAATATTCTTCCTTGTAATTTCTTAATCCTAGTTAACCCAAGTTCTTCCCTTTGGGACAACAAAAAAAAATATCTAATCCCTCTTCTAGACTAAAACCATTCAAATATTTGAAGACAAACTTCCTCTTTATTTTTTTAGACTAAACCTTCTAGTTTTCTTCACCATGCCTTCACATGATATGACTTCCATAATTTTCACCATCCTGATTGATTTCCTCTGAATGTACTGATGCTTGTTCAGTGCCTCTCCTAAAATGTGGTACCTGTAACTGAACACCAAAAATGTTTAGCTTAAGGTCAAGACTCATCAAGACCAAATTTTCCAGTTATTTCTTTATGATTGTTTTTAGTTTTGTCATAATTCAAGCACCTGGCAATGTCTTGCATGGTATAGGCATTTTAATGCGTGTCTATAGTATTGAATGAGCATCATTTCCCGTGGAGCTTTGGGCTATATGGAATTTAAGGAAGGTGATACAATGTATTGAACACTATATTAGGGTCAAACCCCTAGATTTTAGTTAAAGTTTTACCACTTCTATTCAATTAAACAAATAATTATTTAGTACTTATTATGTGCAATGCAGTAGTATTAGGTGCTAGAGCTACACAGACTGAAATAGAATAAGTCTGTGCCATCAGGGAGCTTGGTAGCTGTGAGACCTTGTTGGTCAAGTCAGTCCACGTTCCTGAATAGACTAATAATACCTACCCTCTTACCTCATGGGGCTGCCATGAGAATCACAGGAGAAAGGATTGAATATTTCACAAACATGAAATTATTTTGAAATCTGTATGATATTATACGATTTATCACTGTTACCTGGTATTTAGCTACTTTCAGGGGGCCATTGTCTGAATTTAGATTGTCTGGTTATTTTAAGGTTAGTGAGACTGTGCACAAAAATTAAGGATCGTGTGCATCGGCACATGCATGTGTGTATATACAACAATCTAGTTGTAGATGTAGAAATCTCTAAGGCTCTAAATTATAGAACAGTTGCTAATCTTCATTGGTAAAGAAAGTTTGCTCATTAGTAATTTCCTTCACCTGTTAAATCATGTATTGGGACAAAAATTACTATTACAAATCCAATCCATCAGTTCCTATTCTAGGAACTTAATGTGTGTATGTATACACACACAAACGTGTGTGAGGGGCAACATCATTTAGTGCATGGCATGCTCGACTTGGATTCGAGATTTGGGTTCAAAGACTACCTCTGGTGCTTATTGTTTCTATGACCATGGAAAGTCACTTAACCTCTCTAAGTTTTCTTATCTGTAAATTGAAAGTAATGAGCTCAATGACCTCTAATATACCTTCTAGTTCTAAATCTATTATCCTTTGTATGTGTGCATATGCGTGGGCCTTTTACATCAAGAATATTAGCTAGCATTTATATAGCACTTTACACATGTTATCTCATTTAATCCTGACAATAATCCTGGGAGATAGGTGCTCTTATTATCCCCATATCACAGATAAAGAAAATGAGGCAGAGAGAGCTTAAGTGACTTGCCCAGAGTCACATAGTGTCTGAGACCACATTTGAACTCAATTCTGCCTGACTCCAAGTCCAGAACTCAATGCACTACCTACCTAGCTACCTTCAAATGTGAGTATTTGAATTAAAACAATTCACCTGTCACACAGCAGGTAAAGTCTATGTTCTATCACTTATTTATGAGAGAAGAAAGTCACCCATTACTTAATTGCCATAGGAACACAGATAAGTGCAGTTTCAGCTGTAGCCTTATTCTTTCCTAATCAAGTGATTGCTTTATGGTCTTCAGATTCCATTTTCCCGACTGATGGAAATCTGTGTTTATTGGGACCATCTGTCCTTGTAGTTGTAGAAATCTGTCTGTATAGCCAAAATCTGGGTCAAGGGGGACAGGGATGGCTAATTCTCATTTGGATCATTTACCCTATGCCAGCTGAGTTACCATATTCTTATAATAGATATTGCATCATTTGCCCAGGTGGTTATCCACCAGTTATCCTTCTTGTTTGTGGTGCCTAAAAATCTGATCTATTCATTTAAAAAGTTCCTCTGTGAATGCACAAGCAGAGTAATAACTATTCTATGTTTTTTAGAAACTGCCTTGCTATTTATTATGTGAATTGTGGCCACAATTTGACCTTGGGCTCAAGAAGCATGATACTGGGACAGTACAGCACCTGCAGCTGGTGGTGGGTGGTTGGTTAACAATAAATACCGACATTTATAAAGCCCTTTCAGGTTTTCAAAGCAATTTCCTCCTAGTTATCCAGTGAGATAAGTAGTACAAGCATTATGATTCTCAATTTTAAAACAAAGAAGATGAAAATCAGAGAGGGCAAGTGCTTTGCCCATGTCACACAGATTGTGAGTGCAGAGCTAGGATTTGATAATAATAGCTAGTATGTACATAGTGCTTTAAGGTTTGTGAAGTGCCATACAAATATCTCATTTTTTCCTCACCACAACAATGGCAGGTAGGTGCTACTATTATTTCCATTTTACAGATGAGGAAACTGAGGCTGAGTGGTTAAGTCATTTGTGCGGGATCACAAAGGCTGGATTTGAACTCAGATCTTGACCCTAGGTCCAATACTCTATCCGTCATGCCAGCTTGCTGATTCCAGGCCTCCCAGTTCCAAGTCGATGGTTCTTTCTACTCTACCACACAGAACTCTGTACAACAAACATATGTCATTGGGACTCCTATCATCTCAAAATCAGAGATAAGAAATAATATTTTAGTGACTTGTAAACTCTGTATTACAGAATGTCAGAGATAGAAGGAAGAGACCCCAGAGTCTAACCTGTACCTTAACAAGAATCCTCTCCATACCAAACCCAACAGCCTTTGAAGAACTCTAATGATAAGGAAACCCACTATCCCCAAAGCAGCTTATTCCAATTTTTATGGCTCTAATTGTTAGGAAGTTTTCCCTTTTTTATATCAAGCCTAAATCTGCCTCTCAAACTTCCACCTACTTCCCCTATCTCTTGCCCTCTGCGAATTGAGTAGAACAATTCTAATAATTCTCCCGCAATATAATTGTTCCAATACTTGAACAGTTATCACATCTTCTCCTGTCTTCACTGTACTAAAATTTCTGTTTCATCTAGTAAATTCTCTTTTGATATGAACTAAGCTGTTTGCCATTCTTTGAACACTCTCTTGGCTTGTCAACTCAAATACAGTGATCAGAACTCAATATCTGATCCTTTTCTTGGATGTTCTGTGAGCATGAAGCGATGCCTTGATGCGACGGTATCTCACAGCACAGCCTAAGCTAATTCATGAAAATCTGTTTGTAGAAAATAAAGAACAGTGTTACAGCACCTTCTCTTGTTACTTCAAAGGAACACGATCAACTAAAAATGTCCATCACATATTCTTTTTGAA